CAGCCAGCATCAACCCACCAGGCATCACCCTATTGATCCAATGGGAGAGATGGTGTCTGAGCTGAGGAACACAAATAAAACACCCAGAGGAATAATTTTCCTTTGTTCTCCACTCCCCAGAACAATAAAACACCACTGGTTCACCCTGCAAAGACCTGTCATGAAAAGATCAACGGGGAAATGTCCAGCTGGTCCTTTTCCTGCTGGTCTTGGGGCAAGCATCCTCATCTCTCCCTGGAATCAATCCTGTCCCGTGGGAGAAGGGAGCTGCAGGCACACAGAGTGGGACGGGACAGGGTTTGTCCTGCACCAACACGCCCAGATCGCGCTGCCAGCAGCTCTGTCCACAGCAGCATTGGGTGAGGGACCGGCAGGGACCCCTCCTACTCCTTTGGGATCACCAGGCTACCGGAGCACATCCATCAGCCAGCCAGAGGATGCCCAGGGATGGGAAAAAAGGGCTCAGAGCACTGAAATCCTCCTCAGCCTGTTGTTCCGCAGGGGAGCGATGCCGTCCTGAGCTGCACACGGGACACGTCCTCCCCTCCCAGGGCCCCCGGGAGGATTTTCCCTTCCTTCCTTCCCCCGGCTCCCAGACCCATCGCAGCGAGCCCACCCGTGCTATGGGGAGATGCCAGACTCCCTTCCCGGGGCTCTCGGGGTGGGATCTCCTTCTCCGGGAGTGGCCATGGGCAGGAGCGATGCCAAAGGCCGTCTTTTCCCGGCGAGATGAGGTTTGTTTTGCCGGGAATGGGGAGACAGCAGATGGAAGGGCTCTGGGAGAGCGGGGGTTTTCCTCTCGCCGCTGCCCACACTCACACTTCAGGCGCTGATTAATTGTGTTAATTAGAAAAATAATCATAATAATTATTTTTCAAAACCCCACGGAACGTAGAAATAAAGCCACTTTCTCTCTTTCCGACGTGCCGCGCTCGCCAGGACATCGATGCCAAAGGCGTGGGATGCAGCGCTGTGGCTCCGAGCCGGGGTGAGCGGGGAGCACCCCCAAATCCGCAGCTTTCCCCCCATGCCAGCCCTGCCCGGGAGCTGCCGGCCGGGCAAAGCTCCTGCCCTGCGCCCCCCCAGCGCGGGGTGCCCGCTCCGACCCCTCCAGCCCCCAAAAAACACCGGCGCTTTGCTTCCCACCCCTCAACACCCCCCGACCCGCAAACCCCCCTTGGAGCCGGGGGCACCGGGGGCCCCCCGGGCACGGACTCACCATGGGGCGGGCGGGGGGGCCGGAGCGGCGGAGGATGCGGGGGGTGGGTGCGGGATGCGCGGCCGGCCCGGAGGGGCGGGCGGGGGGCGGACACGCTTGCGCACAGCGAGGGATGGGCGGCGGAGGGAGGAGGAGGAGGAGGAGGAAGGAGGGAGGGAAGAGCATCCCGGGAGCTGAAGGCACCCGATCCTTCATCCCCGGCTCGGAGAGGCGGGGGGAGGGCAACAACGCCCTCCCCGTGGCCTTCGGACCCCCCAAAAATCTTCGGGCAAAAAGCAACCCCCAACCCGAAACCTGCCAAAATTGGTTCACGGCACATTTTGGGGGGGTGGGCAAAGCCCATCCTGCTGGAGATTTACACTGAGCCAGGGGGTTTGCACTGTTCCCTCATTGAAACCCCATGAGATGACACACAAACGCCCTGGGGATGGCTTTGCTTAAAATCATCTACTAATATTAAGTATTTTTCTTTTTCCTGAAAAGACGTTAATCCTCACCACAGAAATGCCCCACGTCAGGCCACCTCGCTCTCCCAAGGGATTCCTTTTCCATCCCACCCCACAATACACAAAATTAGCAGTCAACTTTTGAAGGTTTTTCTTATTCTCCTCAAAACTCTTTTCTTTTTTTTTTTAAATTTTATTAATTTCTGCAGCCTCACACTCATCCCTCCTGCCCGGGGTGAGTTTTGCAAATCCCTGAGACAACATGTCCTGTGCCAATATAAATTGATAAAGTACCTGTTGAGCTGACACATCTGATTTTGCCAAGAGAACTACATCAATATTTGAAGAGAATCCTTGTCTTGTTCCTCATCCTCTTTAGGCTGGGGTTCCCTTGCCATTAACAAGTGGGGCAGAGTTTTACCCGTGGTGACAGGCAAACTCGCTGTAATTAGGTTTTAATTGCCACAGGCTTGTAGACAATCTGGGATAATTAGTGGGGCCACAGCTCGGCAGGGATTTGCTTGAAGGACATTTTGACCCTTCAGTCTCATGGGTCCCACTGCTTGGTTTATTGCATCTGAAAATAATAAACAGCATTCAATGAAGCTCCAGCAATAATAATGCATCCCAAATGTCTATTTTTGCTGTGGCCCCAAGACAGAATATTAAAAGAGGTTGCAAAGCTTCGCTTCCCAAGATCTTCTCAGTCCCCAGCAGCTGCTGGTGATGATGGATGGGCTCGTTTTGGGGTGATGGGCTCCACCCCCAGCATCCCTCCATAGCCCAGGGCAACATCAACAGGACTGGGAGCAGAATAAAAGCCCTTGCAGAGATGCAAATCCAGGATCAGGGATTACCTGGACCTCTGTGCCAAGAGGTCACAGTGCTGTGGCTCAAGCATCACCAAGGTTTGGGGAAGCAATGGTGATCCCATATGAAGTGTTGGACACCAGCTGTGTCCATCCTGCAGGAATCTCAGAACACCTGCTCGCATCCATGGAGCAGTCACAAGGTACCTGTGTTGCCTTGGGTGGACACAAAATCCAGCCACGAGCTTCCTGTGGCCACCACAGCCTCAGCAGACAGCAGGGGTTTAAAGCCCACCAGAAAATGTGAATAAATTTGCTGCCATAGCAGAGTGCCAGGAGCCTTTGCTGGGTTTTTAGTCACTGTTAATGACTACACCCTGCCCTAATATTTAACTTACAAAGGATAAATTGCCAGTTGGATTAATTCAGCATGATGAGCACTGAGTAATTTGGAGAAGAAAAGAGGGGGAAAAAATGCTGGCTGTTTGAGAAGTGAATTTGTAACAAGTTTGGAACTCACACAGACAGAAGGGTTTGGGGAATGCTGTGGCTGCCCAGTGCAGGACAGGACTGGTGTCCTGCCCCGCCAGGGCGTGGGCAGAGGCTGTGCCACCCATCACACCACAGCCAAAATGCTCCCAAAAGGGTGACGAGGCCAAAGCAGGAGCCAGACGAGCAGGATCTGTTCAGAAAGCAGGCAGGGGATGCCCTCAGCCAGGCTCGCAGCATCTGCTCCAGAGGGACAAGAATGTGGCGATTCATGCCCAGCACAAGCTGGCTTTGTCCTGGGTCACCTCAGGCTCACCCTTCCTCAAGCCACAGCCTGGGAATGCCATCTGGCTTTGCAGGCCCAGCCCCAGGACCTCCGTTAATCCTTTGAAGGCTCCAGATCCATCGGAATGCTCCCCCCTGACCCCTTCTTTTGGGACAGGCAGAGACAGCCTCCATCCCAGTTCCCCTGCACCCCCCTGTTCTCCAGTGCAGTCTCCCAGGAAAATGATTTGTCCAGCAGGAGCCAGGCAGATGGTCTGTGGAAGATGAGCTGCTTGGTTGTCTGTCTGTCACCCTCTGAGAGGCTGTTTTCAAGACTGAGGATGTTTTTTCAATACCTGAGGACCAGGGAGACTTCCTTGGAGACAGGATGGACTTGTGTGTTTTTTAACTGTCTCCATTTCTGGGCTGGCCTGGGTGGAGGTAAAATTGGGATGTTTCCCCACCAAAGGAGACCAAGCTCCCCCTTGGCAGAGAAAATGCTTTGGTACAGAAAAAATATCATCCCTGTCCCTTAGCAATTTAAAACCTAGGGAAGGGGAGAGCCATGGGACAGGCAACCCTGCTGACCATGCCCAGCTCCCCAAATCAACTGCTCTGCTCTGCTCAGGAGGTGGGTAGAGCTGAAGCAAGAGGGAAAGGCTCCTGAAGCAGATGACTGCAGCTTTCTTACTATGGATTGCACCTCTAGACTCCAATAATCTGGAAAATACCTCTAAGGTTATCAAGCCCAACTGTTCACCCAGGAAATGGGAATTTCTGCAGAGAAAAAAGGGAAGGTGGCTATATCCAGTTGTTCTGCCTCTCCCTGCTGCTGAAAGGCACCAGGGAGCTGCCTGACCTGAATATTTGTAAATGGGATGAGCAGAGCCCCAGGGCAGCTTCAATGATGCCACTTTGCTCCAGCCAGCTCCAGGCTGCACTCTGGCAGAGCCAGCAGGCTGGAAAAAAATAAATCACATCTGGGTTTTCCCCCATCAGCAAAAAAACCCCTCTTGGAGCTCAGGGTGTGGAAAGGAGCAAAGAACTGGGGTAGCAGCAAGATGATTCCTGCAATTACATCCCTGGTTACCAACCAGAAACCAGAGCCCTTTTTGGCACCAAGAACTCATGAAGTTTTCAGAGGTTGGTGCTCATTGGAGAAGCTGCCAGGTTAGCAGTCTAAGCAATGGCAAGCTCCCTGCATACAGAGAAATTGGGTCTTTCACCACAACGGATCATTGAATCCAACTCCTGGCACTTTCCCGTCCTGCCACCATCTTAGCAGAAGGAAGAGCACTATTATTTATTTTTGGGGGGGGCTTTAACCCACAATTCTTGCAAACCCTTGAGCAGCCTCTGTCAGAAAGGGGCTGCCCTGCTCACGAGGCTGTTTCAGACACAGATGATGAAGGAGCAGCAGAGGGGTGATGGCTCTCGGGCTGGGGATCAGGCAGCACACAGCACTGGTCTCCACACAGCCAGACAGGAAGGGTGAGGACTCGGGTTAGTCACTGGAGTTCTTTGGAGCAAGGCACCCCTCCTCCCTGCTCGGGGAAAGCAACAATCTCACTCCCAAGGGTAAATCTGTAGGAAACACATGAAGCTTTCTGAGGACAGCAGGGTTTTTTGGACCTGTCCATCTACCTACTACCGTATTTGGGCTGACATCTGGGTGGAAAAGATGGATACACACAGCCACTCCCACCCAAACCCCTCTGCTCACTCATCCCACAGGTGCCCAGTCTGAGGTAAAATCCAGCACATTCAAAGGGGTTTATTCAATCAATATTTTAATGGACTTGAACAGACAACATGGTTTCCATAGCAAAGGATCATCAGCCCCACCTTGTACAAAAACACAGCTTAAAAACATAAGAGGAACACAACCTTAGAAAAAAAAGCCCAAAAATGGGTATTTATTTAAAAAAAAAAAAATTATACAAAAGCCTCTGCCTCCTCACACTTTTCCTGCCTCCTGGAATTTCTTAAACAGGGGCTCATCAGCCCGCAGGGGGAAGGTCAGAGCCCGTTTCTGGTAGTACATGGAGTCCATGGCCAGGTTGTCGATGACATCAGCCAGGAGATGGGCTCTCTCCACGGAGCTGCCCGGTGCGTCGTAGCCCAGGGCGGTGAAATGCACGTGCAGGTGCTGGTAGGAGGGCTGGTAGTGCAGGTAGATCCGCAGCTGGGAGCCAGGCACGCCAAAGCGCTTCACTATGGCCTCCTGCAGAGGGGAAACAGAGATCAGCACCAGCAAATCCTTGGGATGGATGGGAAAGAGCAGCCCTGGATGGCAGGGAAGACAGAGAAAAGTAAAAGGGAGCTCAGCTTCCTCACAGCAAGGGGAAGGGGAAAATTTGGAAGGACAGAGCTCTTCCCCACCCTCCATTTCAGCCTCTGCAGGGACAGAGCAAGGCCTCCAGCTGCCCCACTTTTATGTCTCCACGATGGGATGTGCTATCCACCCCTATCATTTTCCCTTTCACCCTTATCACTCCAACTCATTGGAAAAGTAACAGGGATCCATTACCAGCCAGTGTAATTAAAGCTATCAACAGCAATGGCAAACTCCAGAACACTGGCTCTGCTCACTGCAATCCCCTGACTAATCTCTTAATTAATCTCCCACCTTCCCTAGTGCAATTACTTTCCAAATTCTAACACAGTGAAGGAAAGAGAAACTACTGCACATCCATCTCCCAAAGACGCCCTGCAGAAAAACACACCAGCCGGTGAGAAGAGGCAAGGGATCAGGACAGGGTTGTTAATATGAAGAGCTCACTGTTAACAGGAAGTGTAGAGGATTCCTACAACACCTGGATGTGGCATGATCTGGGGAAGGTGCTGATGGAGAGCAGCAGTCAGGGTGTCTGGGCAGAGGGGGCAACACAGCCCTGTTTCATGACTTATCTCCTGAGGAGCGGTCCCCAGGCAGATGCTGTGCCAGAAAACCCAGGGAGTGCCTTTGCAGAGACAGCCGAGCTCTCCCTGGCCCAGGCAGCGTGGGACCAGCCTCACACTCACCTTCCCTTCCTGCAGGACGTTCCTCAGCAGCGGGAGGTGCTCAGCTGTGAGATCCCTCAGAGATTTGATCTCCCGGCGGTGCACGAGGGCGATCAGGTACAGATCATCCAGCTGCAGAGACACAGGAGGGGATGGAGGGGACACAGAAAGAGGCAGCAGTGCTTTGGACCTGACACAGCATTCACAGCTTCCCAGGCTGTTATACAGGGATCCTGGTGCCATACAGGAATACTTGTGCTGCACAGGGAGAGTTGTGCCATACAGGGATACTTGAGTTACACAGGGATTCTTGTGCCACACGGGGATATTTGTGTTATAAAGGGATATTTATGCCACATGGGGATATTTGTGTTATAAAGGGATTCTTGTGCCATACAGGGATACTTGTTCTCAACACCCACACTGGGCTGAATCTCCCAGTACAGGATGTGCTCACCCACAATCCCACTGCACCTCAAAGCATCATTTCTGGAGAATCTGGGTTTTGTCCAGAAATGACCAGAAGAGAACAGCCTCATCCCAACCCATAAACAGTGGGATCACAAATACCTTCTCAGCTTTAGAGGCAGATGGAGTGACCAGCCCTCTCCCACTGTGAGTACTGCACTCAGTGCTGCCCTTCCACCTTCACATCTTCCTGAGCGACTCAAAAATGCTTTCTCTGTGTGACTGAGGCTGGAGACCAGGTGCAGGCACCCACCCAGATATGTGGGGTCACTAAACCCCTGCCAGCACACCCCATGCACACCCCACAGGTCTCTCAGTGATGGTTGATCTGCAGCATGCTCAGATGAGCATTTACAGTGAACGACAGTGGCTGAAACTGAAAATTTCCCCAGTGATAAGCTCTCTACTTTTCCACTGTGCAAACAACTGGCCACTTTTGAGTCACATCAGTTCTATAAATAACAACTTTCAAGACCTAATTGTTCACTGTACAAACCCAGGGCAGTTAAAATATGTCCCTTGAGCAGCTCTCAGACAGCCCTTTGGCATTCCCCGAAGCGCTCAGCACGTTCAATGTTTAACATGACACAAAGCCACGGATCATTACACTTTAAAAAAATAAAAATAAAAATCCCAGTCACCTCCAGCTCTGTTAGTGACTTTATGATATAAACACTGGAAAGCAAAGGGTTTGGATATTTGAGATCCAGCAGATCTCTCCAGGGCTGTGAGAAACCCAATGCAGCTTTTTGGAAATAGATGCTTGTCTCAAAGGATGCTCTCAGGACCCTTTGCAGGGCTCCTGAAGCACAGAGCTGTTCCTGCAGCCAGCCCTAACAGCCATGATCATGGTTCCACTTGATTCCCATGCACAGCTCCAGAAAAAGACAGTGTATCAGCTTGTGCTCTTTGGCTCCAGGCTGGCTGTTGAGAGGAAAAGCAAACAGCTCTTCTTAGAACAACATCTGCATGTTGCTGTTTGAAACAAATAAGCCTGTTGCTAAAAAGGCCTGGAATGATGTCATGCCAGGCATCGCTTCAGGCTACGCCTCAGGGCTCCTACAGATTTGAAACCAACTCAAAAGATGTGGAAGAAAAAAAAACACACCAAAAAATGTAAAATAAATAAATAAATCATTTTTAAAACAGCCCAAGAAACCAATTCAAATTATTATCAAGGTTGGGCAGCAGCACCCAGAAGGCTGAGGCCAGCAGATTTCACAATGCTAAAGAGAAGTTTGTTCCCATCCATTAGTCTGAAATAATGGAGGTGAATTCACAGGATCTGCAGGCCAGGGACTAAAGGAGTGTGAGGCCACACTGCTGAAAGGACTTCTGAGGGAGGGCTCAGAGAGTCCTGCTGGGAGCTGTATCTCACTTCCCTGATTCCAGGCCTTGCCTGCCAGGTGGGATGTGGCAGAAGGAACCGGTGTTCCCGGGCTGTTGCGATCAGCTCTGGCTCAGTGCCACCCACAGCCAAGAAGAAATTCCTTGGCTCAAAGGCAGCCTGGATGCTGCCTGGCCTGCCTGGGAAGGAGATCAGCAGTGCAAAGGGCCTGGATAGCTCCAGGGGTGACTCGGGTGCAGACAGCAGCCCAGCAGCTATGGAGAAGTCCAGAAGATCCTGTTCAGCACTCCAAGAGGCAACGGGAACATGGAGAAACCTCCCCTGAGGACAAATCCTACCACTGAGGCACTCCCCGCCCATGCCAGCTGGGAGATGTGGATGCAGCAGGTCTCCAGAGAAAGCCAAAGCCCAAATTTTAGCCCATCTATGATTTTAGCCCAATCCCATGTGAGTTGCAAAGCTTGGTTGCAGCACACAAGGATTTCCAGCAAGGCTTGACTCACAGCCAGGAAAGGGACAAGATGCTGCTTGCTTTAGGATCCCCAAATATTGCCCCACTGGGAGGGCACTGAACAGGGCACATCCTACAAGCTGGATATGTATCCCCTGTGCTGCAAAATCTCATCAGGAAGAAGGTTGTGCCTCTGGTAACCAAAGGGAAATTAGAGCTTAGTTACCACTTGACAGGGGATTTTTGGAGTCAGTGATGCGCCAGGAATTCACCAGGAGCAGACACCAGCCTGCAGGGACTCCCCGAGACAACACAGTTCCGCACCACAAACAGCTGCTCCCTGCACAGACACAGGATGGAGCTGCCCACCAGCAGCCTTGTGTTCCCATTTTTTTAAATTTCCATTTCTAAGTCTTAATCATACAGCAACTCTCCCCACGTGCCCCCTGCAGAAGCATATGAGGACCAGAAACACAATGGGAACTTTTTCTGACGCCACCAACTTCAAGGGAAGGGTGTGTGTATGGAGCTACACCTCCCCAGATTTAAAGCATGAAGGGGAACCAGAACCAAAAGAATAATTCTCAATTTAGAATTACAGCCTGGTCTTAAAAATCACTTTCACCAAGTGGCCACTCCCACAAGGGGTAAAGCAGCTGCTCATCAGCCAAGAACCATCTGCTTAACACTGTAGAGGAGAGTTAATTGAAGCAACCAAAAACAACACAGCTGTCTGGTTTGCACCTCAAGTCAAGGCCTGCAAAAAAAAACCCAGACAAGTTCAGCAGAACAAATACACAGGATTTTGGTTTGGACACATCCTGACAACATTTGGGCTGATATGGACAGATGGAAGTGAACCTAATAAATACATCTCAGCAGCAGAGAGAACAGCTTGGGTCTGCAGCGTCCCTGATCAGCTTGTGCTGAGAGGCCCTGGCAATGCCATCACTAACAGCAGTGTGCACAGAAACCTACTCAGACTCTCTCAGGATGCTCTTACTAGTCTGAAAGTGGACATTTCCTCTGGATTACATTCTGACAGGCAGCATTAGAGGAGCAAACCAACCTGGTTTTGATTCCACTTTAAATCTGGAACCAGAACAAAGCCACTGGAAGGATCTGGGTTTTCATGGACGATTCTATCAGCCTCAGCTTTCTTCTCCAGGATATTATACACCCACTGAAAGAGAAATACGTGATTTATAAATCAGCAGAGAATTAAAAAACCAACATCTAAAGGTGTATTTAGCCCAAGATCATGGATTACTGCACATTCTCTGCAACTGGAATATATTACAAAAAAAAAACTGATTTCATTTGAAGATGACCAAATAATTTGTAATCAATTAGCCATAAAACACTTCATCAACCAATAAACTCCAGAATATTATGATCAATTCAGTAAAAAGCAGTGGAACCCAGCTCCTGTGGGGCTCAGCACGCACCTCTTGCAGTACCATGGGGCTGTTTACATCTTTTTTACTCCCCAAGCTGCAGCAAAATCTTTACAAACAGGTCTGGGAAGGGAACTCAGCTGATTTTGTTCCCTATTCAAAGAGGAAGGAGCAGAGTTGGATGTAGCTCTGGCTGCTGGCAGCTCACTACAGGGATACGAAAGGCCTGTGTTTTTTTTGGGCAATGCATGTCTCTTGGCTCCCTGGCTGATCAGAAAACAGCTCACCACTCTTCTTCTTCCACACTTAAGGTTCCAGCCTCCAGCCTGCCTGTAATCCCTGCTCTGGTTATCCCCCTCGCTCCTCCTGCAAGGCAAAGCACCATTCAGAGAAGAGTTATGGAAATGGAGGACACCAGGGATAAGTGACAGACTAAGACCAGAGGAAAGTATCTTTGCTCTCCCTGGCTCCCAGCCTCGGCTCCAGCATCCTTTACATTTCCAAAATGCATGTTATGCTCTAGCTTAAGCCTAGCTTAACTACTGGGCTGGTAAGAGAGACTTCAGCCACGTCCCTGGAAGGTGGTAACACAAGGCAGCAGGAAATTGCTAATGCTTGGAAGCTGAAAATGTTTGGAAACATCATTTTCCCCACCAATTATAGGCCTGAAATATTCTGACTGCCCCAGATGGGTAGGGAAGGTGCAGCCAGTTTCACAAATACACCAAATGAGCTGGGCTGGAGGTGCTGTGCACACCAGACACTCTGGGGGAAATCCATCAAGAGTTTAATTAATCTAATCAACACTTAGGATTGCTGCAAACTGACCTGAATACATCTGGAGGGAAAAAACTACTTCTTGTCCCTTGATCTGGAATTTTTTGCTTTAATTGCTATCTTCTCTCTTCAGCATCATTTTAGAGATTGTATTCTTCAAGCTATTCTCAAAAGCACAGCACAAGCTCACTCTATTCCATAACCCTGGGAGGAAAGTTCAGGGGGAAGCTCAGCAGAAAATGGACATTTGCCTTTTGCTGGGGTTTTCATGCCTGCTCTGATCACAAGTGCCAAGCTATCAGTGCCCTAAATAAGGTTACTGATCAGATGAGCTGAATTTTAAACCCAAGGCTGCCTCGTGATGGGCAGGTCCTTGGCTGACTGCTCCTGCTGCTCCCAGGACAAGCCCAGCAAGCAGAACACATGTCCAGAGACTGGCACCACAATAAAACCATTACCCTGAAAGCATCCATGCTTTGTATCCTCCAGCAGGAAACACAGACGCCTCTGTAATCCCCTGCTATTTCTGTCACCCCTCACATTTCCCTTTCCACTTGGCAAAACCAGTTGGATAAAGACAAGGAACAGCATTATTAAATCCCATAAGTCAAGGACTGACCAGGATTTCTCAGCAGATGCTCCTGATGGTCACCAGGAACATGTTTCCATGTACTGAAACCAGCTCACAAGCATTTGGGGGAAGAAGCAGAGTGAGAACTCAAGCAGTTCCTGAAGGCAGCTGCTACACAGGAAACATAAGAGATTTGGGAGCAAAAGCACAGAGAAAATATTCCACGAAGGCTGTGGCCTGGTGGAAACACATACTTGGCTTTCTCCAGCCAATAAATGCTGCAGTTTAAGGCAGCAGGAAAGATGGGGGAATGGGGGACATCCAAGGCTCCTGGTTAGTTTTGGGGAGTTATTTTTAATGGAGCAGCAGGATTTGGTTTATTCCCCCTTCTGCAAAGGCTGGCATGAATTGATCCCTACAGACTTGTATTCCTTTGCTCTCTAAAGGGGAAAGAGAGGAACAGTGAAAAAGGATAAGGCCAAGGAAAAAGCTGGGGCAGCTTGGAGCAAAGCAGCACGCTAAAAGTAACAGTTTTACCATGTGGAATATGGACTGAGGGGCTGAATGGCAGGAGGAATGAGCTGTGATGCAGGAATCCAAGCACAATCTATGTCTTTCCATTTCCACCACAACCCAGAGAGTCCTAAGAAGCCCAGCAAACTGCACCAATGCCCCAGGAAGCCAACCTTGGAAAGGAGAAAAATAATTCAGAGTTTCTCCAGAAACCTTGGGAAAAGCAACTTGAAGTACAGCTCCAAGGCAAACATTTTTCTGCAGAGCTGGAAAAGGATGTCCCAGCCAACCAAATAAGAGGGGACAGCACCACAGAGCTGGCAACTCAACCACCAGGGAGATGGGGCAGAACACTCCCAGCTCTCCAGCCTGGCTTCAGAAAAGCCTTCTGGCAGCAGTGTTTTGATGGAGGAGACCAAAGACATCATTGTCTGCAGGAGAGGGCGTGGTACCCATACCTGGATGCTGAAGCTCTGGGACTGGATGAAGGGCAGGGTTATGTTCTTGTAATCCTCCCAGGTTTCACGGATGAGGTGCACTTCCTGACGGAGATATTTCTGGATGTGTTTCTCCGTGGCAGGGTACACCACTGTGGCTTTGATCTCTAGGAACAAACACATTGACTGAGTTATCACCCACATTGCTTCCTTTAGTCCCCAACAAATTTTTCCCTTCCAAAAAATGCCACACCAAGACATTTTGAAGAGAGGGTGAGGGAGAATGAACATGGAAAGCAAACAAGTGCTTTAACCTCCTGCACTGCTGCTGCTTTTCTGGAGGAAGAAACAGCCAATGGCACAGCCAGGGCCTCTCCTTCCAGTTCAGGTGGAGGAGTTTGCTGTCTGAGTTTCTCCACACTCGCTCTTTCACGCCTATTAGCAACATCGGGGCAGAGGTGGGGCTCCCAGGGCAGTGTTTCTGTGCAGTCAACAACCAGGACAGAAACATGACCCTGGGGACAGAGACACATCTTCTTCATACTTAAATTCAAAGCTCACAGGACGCACCCAGTAACTTCATCCAGCCGCAAGCCCAGATGAACTCCAAGGAGCAGCTTCTTCCCAGAGCTCAGTCAGAGTGCTTGGCCTTGAGCCCCAAGTACAGGAGGCAAAAAAGTCAAGGGCACAGGGACAGATCCAGAGCAAGCAACATGAGCTGATAGGTCAACACAGCTCAGGATGAGCCAGGGGAAGAGGGCTGAGTGACCCTCTGCCCACAAAAAGCATTTCATCATTTACCCTGACAAAAGAAAGCATTTTCTGTTTGCCTCAAGATCAGAACTTTGCTGCACAATTTCTGTGGCATTAAACAGGATGCAAGTGCTCACCTTGTCAACCTGGCAGCTGTGATGTCGGCAGCAGTAAATCCTACCCACAGGGCTAAAACACACGGAAAACATCCGTCTTTGGCCGAGATTGGATGTGAGATACAGAGCCTGCCACAGCTCCAAGGTGCTCCAAGGGCACAGGAGTGTCTTTCCCTTCCCAGCTGACTCAGAGGTGCTATAAACTTCAATGCAAGGAGAAAAGCCCCATGAGCCTGAGCAAACCCCAGGCAGACCAGACTGAGGTGAGTGACCAGGGCACTGTGAACACTGCAGTTTGTGCCCAGGGTCTGCCACAGAAAACCAGGGGCTGCAGACAAGGGGCACCAGAGTTGTGCTTCATGCCTTAAGTATGTATACAGGCTAGCTAGACACTGAATATAAACACCTATTTGTTCCCAGAGCCAGGATTTAGGATGGTTTGAGTCTTTTTTAGTTTTCTGCTTTCTGTTTTTTTCAGGTCAGCGCTGCACAATCTGAGAGACTCTGCCTTTTCATTCCATGCCAAACCCAGCTTAATGAAATCCACAGGAAAATGCTGGTAACATGAAATATGAAAATGCAAACCACAAGGGCAGTCTGGTCTGATTCCCACCATACACATGTTCAAACAAGGTTGTTTTCCAGGACTCAATTAGCACTCCTAGCAGGATGATGTAATACCAAAGAAAAAATACAAGGCTGTAGCTCTCCTCACTTAAAAAGATCAGCAAAGCACTGGGGAAAAAACAAAAAAGGCAAAAGATAAAATACCAAAGCCTGCCTCAGGCTGAAACTTTCACAATTTGATTTTATACCCCAAAAATAGAGCAAAAACTGCAGCAGAAGCCCCTCAGTGCTGGGTGGTGATAACCACAGTGCGTGGGGGCGCAGGAACTCACAATGCACCACCCTGGCACCTCCCCAATTGGGGGGTGGCTGGTCATGGTGGGGAGAGAACTCAGGGTGTTTTAAATGAGAGATCATAGAACTCCTTAATGTGCAGCTGCAGCCGAGCAGATGTTTGGAAGAGGAGGCAGGGGAAAGGCTGTGGTTCACTTATGATTATTTCCCTTCTAAAGGTCTCATCAACCCCAAAATGCCCCAGCGATGCCAATTAGCATCAATCACTGCAGCCAAAGAGGCTTTTGATACCTGCTCAGAGCCTGACACAGGAGCCACACACAGGATGCAAAGTCACAGCTGAGCCTGGGCTCAGCTGCAAGAAACATCCACAGCAAGACCAGGCTCGCCCCAAAATCTTTCCAGTGCTGGCACACGGCCACGCTCTGGTTTCCAAGTCAGCTCCTGGCAGGCTCCGTGTGCACCGGAGCAGCACGTAGGCCGTGGGGCACCCAAAACCTGCCCTGGCCTGGAAACAGGGGTAGGGAACCGCTGGACACGTGATGTGGGTTTCTAAGCTGGCTGAAGCATCAGGAATTGTCTCTGCTCACATCTGAGTCACATCAGGCAGCCCGTTCCTGAATGCCGGCCCGGGGCCACCACACAGCATCTGTGGTTTATTCTGGAACACAAGACTGACCATCAACTAACTGGAGGTTATAAAAAGTCAGGAGGTTTCATTGAAGGAACCTGGATGAGCAGGAGGCAGAGAACAACTGCCCAGGCTGGTCATTCTACAACAGGCATTTGAGGGGAAACACCACAGTGCTGGGAAACTGCCCAGGAGAAAAGGAGGCTCAGATTGACCAGGCACACACTTCTCCCCTCTCCTGCTAAAAACAAGATAGGAAAACACAACCCAAGATAAAAGGAAAATCAGAAGACCACTTGGGGAACTTAAGGGAAAAAGGGCTGGAGACAACTGTTGTCAGAAGAGAGGACAAAATATGGGCAGAGAGATCTTGTGCAGGTAGGAAAGGGCACACCAAGCTCACTAATGATGCCTCATCCCCCCTTCTGTGCCACACTGTCCCCAGGCTCTGCCAAAATCCCCCTGCAGTCAGCACATCAGTGAGGAGAGGCCTCACACTCTCTTCTCCCATCCCACTGCAGCATTAACACCTACTGTCAGCTTGTTTTAGACAGCTTTAACCTGCCAGGGAGCCAGGAGAAGCACACAAGGCAGGCACAATGTATTTCTCCTTTTGGACAGGGGTGCAGTTTCCTCTTTTTGCTATCAAGAAGCAGAGTTCTCATTAATAAGCTCCCTAATCAACCTGACCATTAGGTGCAGGAAGGTGCCAAGGCCAAGGAACAACAAGGAGGTCAACACTTGCACTCTTGCAGGTTTTCTTTTCCCCTGCAAGGAAGAGTTCCTGCTGCACCCAGCTCTGTCTTCCCACCAGCAGGTAGGAAGACAGCACCTTGGAGGCAGCCCTAATTAAATATATAATGCCCTAAGCAAATCTGTGACACAATCTCCCCCTGCATGAACTGTGTCCCTGTCTCCCCTGCATAAAACCTGTCTGGTTTTATGATCACAACTGCACAGGGGTCACACGGGAACACTGGATTCCAACCCAGCCCCAGCCAGGTATGCCCACGGCTTTGTCCCATACAGCTGGGGCACTCTTTAGTGAATGAATTAAAGCTGCAAAGGATAAAGCCTGCAAGAGCTCACAGTTTCCAAGGCCAGCACATGCCAGGGCAAGCCAAGCACGCTGCCAGGGACTCAGCTAAGGCTGCCTGGCCCCTGGGGCTCATGCCAGGAGGATTTGGGGGGCTCAGTGGAGTTCAGCTGCAACAGGCACTGCAAAGAGGAAAGTTGCAGTTTACCACCCCCACAAAACACAGAGCAAAGTACAGTGACACCCCCCACCATCCTCCAAACCATCCCACGTACTCCCATAGCTTCAGGCTCAAGCTTTTTATTTAAGTGTAAATGCAAGAAAGTTTCCTTGGCTGGGCAAACCCCAGAGACAGCCAAAGTAAGGAAACACAGGGAGAAGAACCAGCCTTCCCACTGCAGCTCCTGCAAGTTGCTCCAGCTCCTCACTGCCTGAAACCAGACTCTTTTTAGGATGTGGATTGCTTCCTGCATGACTGAAAACTTTCCTTCCACACTCTCCCATTTTCCCCACAATTTCTCCACTTCATGTTGGAGAATGGAACCAGAGCTTCTCCCCTTGTGCTTGTTTTAAGAGGTTTTTAATAAGCTTCAGCCTATCACTCTTCAGAGGACTGATAAAACCCCTTAAATCACACCAGCACAGCTTTGGAGAAACAGTCCCACAGCAGCCAGGCACAAAGAGGCTGCTTTTTGCCACAAATGTCAAGCTCTCCTTGGTAAATGGGTGTGAGGAACTAGATGTTATCAGGGAATGTGTATATTGAACCATCTAGCTTTTGCAATCCAACCTTTGGCAGGTTGAAATGTTTCCATTTCTGTGAAATCAGCCCCTGCTCTCCCTATAGGGGAAAGCCAAGGCTGGGGGTTCCTCTCACATCTAGGTTTAAGCTGCCTCTTAAATTAAGGCAACATCCAGAAAGTGGCCTTAAAATAAGTTGTACATACCTGCCTTTGGCAGCAGCACAGTCACATCAGCTCTGACACACTACTCCCCACAAATTCACCTTTCCTCAGTCCAGGGGTTTGAGTTGCTCTTCAATCTCTGACCATTACTGGCTTGTCTGCAAATGTTATTTCCCATTTTAGCCTTGACAAGTGCAGTAAAATCAATGAGATGAGCAAGACTCATCTGGTGCCGCCTTCACACTGGTGTGCTCCCAGACCTAAAAATCTCATCAGAGTTAAAATTCATCTTCCCCGAGTGAAATGTCTCTTCTGAGGTCAGAGAGGAGTCATTTGCTCAAGTAACATGCTTTGGCCTCCCTTTCCCTGTGTCACCATAAAAAAGTCATCATTGCACAGGGCCTGTGCTGGATTGACTGCGCAGAGGGAGCAGCACCTGACTCTGTTCAACACAGACATGGGGAAAGAGTGAATGAAGTCTCCACTTCCAGCTGAATGAAGAGCCCCAGGTCCCTGGGACCACAGAGGCAGCATTGAGAAATGCTCCGGAAGCAGCTCCTCACGGTGTCAGCACGAGTCACCTAGAGTCACCACTTCCTCTGTCTCAAGGTCTAGCTTACCTCAGAAAGCAAGAGGCTGAGCGTGGCAAGGCTCAGCTGCCCAAGGTGTTATGAAATCCCCCACGTGAATTCCTTCATCCCACAACACCACAAGACAGGACTGTTCCATGAAACTGCTTCATGTCAAAGTCTGGTCTTTTCTACAAAATATTTTACTGTATCTTGTACCCAAGTGTAAACTTGCAAGGACCAGGGGATAAAACCCTGTAACTCTAACCCTGCAACTCTCAAGACATCATAAGGAGTCAACAGACCCTGTGCAAGGGCTCCATGGGTCTCCATCCCAGGTCAAACCCTGATTAAAGCTTTACAGGCAACTCCTCCTGTTTAGGTTTTTAAGTCTCATTCCTCATGTCAATCGCATCCTTGGGCCATGACTCAGTTTCAAACGGTAATTTCCTTCCCCTCCTGACAAAGGGCTGTTTCCCTGCCCACCAGCAGCTCATGCAATGTGCCCACCAAACAGCTATTTGCTGCTAATGGCTTCAAAGGAAGAAAGCTCCTTGCTCTCCACTCCTACTCAGGGAGCCTGGACAGTAGCTCCAGGGTCTACAGCCCCCTCCTGATCCCCTGTGTGGGGCTGCTCAGCATCCAGAGCAAGTTGAGGAGTGCCAAGGAGAGGGGTGGGAAGCAAAAATGCACCACTGTGTACTACTTCCGCAAAAACTTACCTTTCAAGGGCAGATTTAAAAGTCATTAAAAAGATAAAGCTTGGCAGAAGAAAGCCAGAGGCTTCTTCCCCATTCAAACATGCAGGAGGGGCTTCACACCTGGCATAAGCCTTAAACAAAATAAGGAATTCTGTTATCAGAGCAACGTGGAGTTGCACAGCGCTGCAGTGGGGAGCAACAAGAAAAGCAAAGGCCAGCACGGCTGAGCTGGAGGCAGCCCAGGGGATTTCAGTCTTGCAATGCCACCTCGTGGGAATCACTGCAACTCCTGCTGGGCTGGAATACAACAGGCACCCAAACAGGAGCTTTCCCAGCTAAGAAAGAGGAGCTTTAACGTCTTCCAACAACTCCCATGGTGTTATGGTGCTTTCCTCTGACTGAAACTCACTGTAACAACAAAATGTTTAATTTTGAGTCCTTCACAGGAGAAAAGGAGTTTTGCACAACTCAAGCTGACAGATCCAGACAGTGCTCCCTCCTACATCATGGGAACAGAGCTAAAACAAGAACATTTTTGGGAAGGCATATCAAACATCCTGAAAATTTAACGTGGCCCTACAACAACACCTTACTTAAGGCACTCAGATTAATTCTGACTATTAAACACGTTTGGCTGCTATTGTGTTTATAAAAGCATTGACATGGAATTTATCACTGCACTTCCAGAATTTAAACACATCCCAGCATTCACACAGTGAAAGGTGATTCTGCTCCGCTCAGGTGACACTTCACCTGCAGAGCTGCCTCCAGCTCTGGGGTCCTTAGCACAGGAAGAACATGGTGCCACTGGAGCAAGTCCAGAGGAGGCCATGGAGATGCTCTGAGGATTGGAGCAGCTCTGCCATGGAGACAAGCTGGGAGAGCTGGAGGTGTTCAGCCTAGAGAGGAAAAGGCTCTGGAGAGACCTTAGAGGGGCTCCCTGAGAGCTGAAGAGGGACTGGGGACAAGGCCCTGGAGGGACAGGAGAAGGGAGAATGGTTTCCCAGTGCCAGAGGGCAGGGTTGGATGAGATATTGGAAAGGAATTGTTCCCTGTGAGGGTGGGCAGGCCCTGCCACAGGGTGCCCAGAGCAGCTGTGGCTGTCCCTGGATCCCTGGGAGTGTTCAAGGCTGGATGGGGCTGGGAGCAACCTGGCATAGTGGAAGGTGCCCCTGCCCATGGCAGAGGGATGGAACAGGATAAGCTTTAAGGTCCCTTCCAATCCAAAAGAGTCTGAGATTCTGTGATTAAACTGAAGTGCTCAAAGACCAGCCCTGCTTTCAAAAGGCAGCTGGAAAAGCACCACCACTGCAGGACACCTTCGCACTGGGACCAGAGTCCTCTCCGCAGGGCAAGTGCCTTCCACTGCAGCTCCCCAACCTGCCCATCTGCCCTTGTCATACTTGATTATTAAAAGTTTTATAACAAAGATGTGTGAAATCAGCAGGGGGATGGGGCAACAACACACTGACCTCCCCACCTGGGCCAGGTGTGCTGCTGTCACTGAACCACAACCACGGTGGCACAGCCAGGTCCAGCAGTGGCACCCTGCCCATCTCACTGCCTCTTCCCCTCTGGAATGGGCAGGAACCATATCCTGGCATCCCAGCTGCCCTCCCAGGACTCCTGAGCAGGGCTGAGGGCACTCACCACTCAGCTCCGGGGGAGGGCTCAGGTAGAA